TGGGCTCCACTATCTCCCAGGACCTGAAGTGGACGTCCAACATCAGGACCATCACCAAGAAGCCACAGCAGAGGATGTACTTCCTGCTCCAGCTCAGGAAGTTCGACCTGCCCCAGGAGCTGCTGATACAGTTCTACAGAGGAATCATCGAGTCTGTTCTCTGCACCTCCATCACTGTCTGGTTTGGCTCAGCAACCAAACAGGACAAGTACAGACTTCAGTGGACAGTCAGGACTGCAGAAAAGGTCATTGGTGTGAGCCTGCCCTCCATGGAGGACCTGTACACCTCACGGGTCAAAAGGAGGGCGGAGAGGATCACTGCAGACCCCTCACACCCAGACACAACCTGTTTGAACTCCTCCCCTCTGGATGGCGTTACAGGTCACTGTGCACCAAGACAACCAGGCACAGTTTCTTCCCCTAGGCCATCACAATGATGAACACTTAACCCACGGCAGTATGATTGGACAATAACCCTCAGTGCAATACCTGTGTATATATATATTGTACAGATCATACAGATGCGTACAGGTCTCTAGTTTTAAGTACTCTATCTTTATCCCTTATCCCTATATATCTCATTTCAACAAACATTCCTTGTTGTCTGCATTGTTTACTGTCTGTTTATACTGCTTATTCTGCATTGTTTGCACTGTTTGTTGCTGTCAGTGTTGCTGTTAATACTGCTTATTTTGTTATATTACACAGCCTTATGCTGGTTTACTGTTTGCACATTGAGAGCCAATATACCCGAGTCAAATTCCTTGTGTGTCCACCACACCTGGCCAATAAAACTGATTCTGATTCTGATAAGCGACTTCACCAGAGAAATAGAAGATCTAACGTATATACACTCATGAGTGTGAGACAGAGAGACAGTCAATTAGTGTTGCATGATAATAACAAAGCAGTATGCTAATTTATTCAGACAATCGCTGTCTTTCTGAGAAAGGGGAAATGTATGCAGCCAGGATATCAGATGCACACATAAGAATACTATGGAAAGCACAAACAGATCCTCAAATTGACTCTTATTTTGGTGCTGTTCTCTTCATTCTTTATGGCATCTTGTCACTGAGTCTATGCTTTGCCCTCTCTCTTCCTCTATACAGGCCAACAGTAGTCCCATACATTAGTGTAAATAATTAAAAGAGCTCTCATACTGTACAGATGAATTTGAACATTGCCTGGAAATAAAGAGTATTGCTCTCCATGTGAGGCACTGACTTGATGTATGGCCCTTGTTATAGGGTTTGTGTTTAAGCCTATGTATAGCTATGCTTGTTTAAGAGCAATTTTTTTCATGAGATCCTGTACACTGCATGTAATACACAATACAGTATGACTGTACATTTCTGTAAATCTGTTAGGTTAATGACAAGATTGTGAGAAGAAGAGAGAAGTGTGGTGTGTGTGATAGCACATGTTTCATTTCAATTAAGAGCTGCATGTAAACATTTAGCATGCTGTGTGTGGATAGATTATACTATTAGTTTGCATGCCGTTCCACACATTTCACTGATCAGCATGGATGAATGTGTCCATGCTTGTGGGAATGAATTTTGTATGTGCCTCTTTCTATAGTCAAGGATGCATTGTGCGTCTGCTTGGTATATGGTCTGGTCCGGCTGGTTGACGTGCTGCATGGCGATGGCATGGGGAAACTCATTGAGCATCCGCTGCTGGAAAGCCTCCAGCCTCTCATAGTCATGGCCGCGGCACACAAACTCCTTATTCTGCAGAGGGGGAGCAGAGGACAGCGTGGGTTTAGCTTGACATCTAGTGGTCACACACTGTACCTGCAGCCTCATCTGCAAACTCCACCAAGCACAGGTCTTGTTACATTATTTAATGGCACTGAATCAGAATTGAATGTCATGTCACACTGGAGAAGTCTTATCTAATAAATGTCCATTCTTCAGCATGCTTCTTTTTTCTTTGGAGAGAGTAAAAGTGTTTTGCGACTTCCTATTAATGTCACAGACGGAATCTGAAGATTTACCCGTAAGAAAAAAGATTTCATTACCCTTAAGAAGAAAGGAAACTTTTTTCCATAGAAGCCAACTCTGAAGAATTCAGGTTCTAGTCTTTGCTGGTCCATGATCTTGTCATAGAGAGAGGCTTCCATCATCTTGCAAGGAAAACAATGATAGTATATAACAACATTCACAGTATGCCACAAAAAAGCTCAGTTATTTCAAATATGCATATAGCCGTATAATATAAACAAATGTCCTTCTTTTATGTTTGGTACTTTTCCTGAATGACCCCCACATCACACACAAGACGAGCAATTCAACTACTAACTTACCCGCATTTTGCTCAAATTCCTGTAGTCGTAGTAAGACTCATACTGGTCAGCCAGCTCTCTGCATAGGATGATGCCATTCTCCCAACACTGAAGACATAAAAACGCACTTATTTATCCTCAAGCTCAGTGTTCTGTCTTTAAACACAGTGACAACAAATACAAAATCAAAAGAAGCTATAAGCATTTGACTGGAACTAGAAAGCTTTATGAATCTGAGTCACTTGCTCTGCAGTGCTGCTACTCAACTACATTGCCTCCACTTGAGGGCAGTGGTGAGTCAACAATATAAAGAGTCAAATAGAGCCTCTTCATGTAGGTACATGCAGCAGCCGGCCATCTTGCTAATTAAATGAAAAGCTTTCCTTTTCTGCTAACTGTTAATCCCTGTGCGACAGCACTGGCAGATGGCATAGCTCATTAATGTGAAGGAAAATTCCACTATGAGTAATGAGGGCAGCAGCTTTAATGATTTTGTATAGCTAGGTTATTTCATCATGAACACTGATTTAGTTTTAACTGTGTGTGTTTGCATAATGCCATTTTTTCCATGGGAGAAAGAATCTGAGGAGAGGAGTGAGAGGGAGGAAGAAAGGCAAAATATACTTCCTGAGTAACAGAAACAAAGCAAAACCTGGGAACGGTTTCTATCAAATGATGCTGCATCTTGAATCAGCAGAGCTCTGTTTAAGCTGTCAGTCTCAGTCACTCATTGCTAAAACCAGTGCCACCAATGTGCTCCATGCTTCACTGAACAGACTTCCCATCATCACCTCCCACAGTATTTCTGAGAGGGATGGTGTAGAATATTGTAGGGTATTGTAGGGTGATACGGATCCCACTTTAATTACAGGCACCAGTGACTCGACTGATTATTGTTGATGCCTCGAGCCACTGTCACTGTTCAAGACAGGTAGAAATTAAATGTCTCACTGCAAGTGACACACATTTTGCTTGTAGATCTGTTCTAGTCTACTCTTAAGAATGGACTTAATTTTATGTAAATGACATCACATCTCCACTAAACAAATAGGGAACTCCTGTTCTCTCACCTTCTGTTCTGTTGGAGCTGCATTTTAGCTGAACTGAGCATTAATTTTTAATAAATCTGTTCAGTGTATTTAAGACTAACCTATTTTTCAAATTAACTATTAATTATATGGCTGTGCTCATTTCAAGTATGAATTAGAGGTACATTTATATTTTAAAACAGTTTAGAATATGCATGAGTAGGTGACATGCTGCTGGATGTTAGCCTGGCAACAAGTACTTTCAAAAAAAGTATCAGTGTTGTTAACTGAATTATTTAATTGATTTTTCCCATACATTTCTCTAAAAAAAAAAGACAAGGTTGAATATTAGATTGCAATGCTGCAGGTAAATACTCCTGCAGTGTGCTACAGATGTGTTGAGGAGAGGAATTTTCTTGTTTCTGTTAAACAGTCACATCAACAAAGCAATTCAAATGGACAGGATGGAACTGTGTGGAAGAAAAGACATGTGTGTGCACAAGTTCACCTTGCCCCTGTCGAAGTTCTGGACAATAGTGAGATGTAGATACTCTTTTCTTTGCCACTCGCTCTGCATGGGGTAGTTGAGAAACTCTCTTAGAGGCCTATCTGACCATTCCAGTAATTCATCATACAGCAGCAAGGTGTATGACGCCTCTGTGACACAGACAGCAAAGATATTATATATACATCTACAGCACATTTTGAGGAAAACATGAAAATTGAAAGCCTTAGAAACATCTTTGAAATTACTTCACATCTCATGGGAACAGTTCAGAACAATGCATTCAGACAATGACTGGCCATTCCAGAAACTCATCCATGCAGCAACTGCATTGCCCACACATGCTGACACCCATACTCACATATGCTCTATGTTAAGGCCATTCCTTTAAGCATACCTGTGTAGTTTTGTGCTTTCAAGTGCAGGTCATACAGTTTGTGAATGTAGCGGATGTACATCTCCTCTTTGTTTAACTCAGTTTTGTAGAAGTTCTGACAGGAGCAGTGGGTGGTTCATAGATGGTTGAGGACAAAACGAATCATAAGAGAGAGAAGGGGATCATAAAACCTGATGCAAATGAAGGGGATTGTTGTATGATAGAAGTTCAGTAATACATTTCTGCTGCTGATTAGCAGTGACTTTTGATCTGTCAGCCTACACACCCAGGTGCTGTTGCACATGGCTGCAGTTACCTAGTAGGCAAAAGGACCGACAATAGTAACAAACAAACAAATCTCATTATTATAAATATGAAAACTTAACAGGATTTGTATCCGTAGCACAAGATGAAAATTAACCAGAGCAATAGTTTTGATATTTTGAAAAACATACTTATTTATTTTGTTTAACTTGGAAGCAGGAGGAAACAACTAGTCTGTTTCTGTCCACAGGTTAAAACATGAATTAAAAATTTTTTTAAAAACCTCAAATGTTTTTAATACAAAAACTAAATGAAAAATGACAAGTTATGGTATTATATGCTGTACTATTTCTTGTCCAGTGACAGGCAACCAGAGGAGACTCCAGATTTTTACACTTTGTTTTAGTATGGATTAAAGTGAGCTTTAGAGGTGCAGGTGGACAGATATTTTACCTTTAAACTCTTTCAGCTAGACTAATCTAACCATCATCATATTTAACAAACAGATATGAGAGTGGTATCAATCTTTCAGCAAGAGACTTATTTCATGGTCTTGCACCACACCATTTCATTGATTTTATCCATTTTTGCACATTGTCATCTCAGCATTTAAACTGATCCAAAAATATTCATATGGTGAAAGTACTTTTGACTGGTCATTAAGATATATTAAATAAATAATTCATAATCTGGTTTTAGAAAATCTTTTAAACAACCAAAAAGAAGCTGGAACACAGAGGATGTAGCTGCTATTCACCAGTAAACTGACAGTACAGCCAAGCTTCTTTCCATCCACTTCTCCCAGCTTCATACAATCCCTGATGTAGAAACAGAAGGCATAAGACACATGCAATGATATGACATGATTAAAAGGGATAAAGAATGTATGAATGTGTGTTTCTAGGTTTAAGTGTGCACTCTCACCTATAGTCCAGCAGTCTTTCCATTAAGCGAGTGACAGTAGCAATCAAAGAGATCCCACTCTCCCTCCAGGTCTCTCTCTCAATTTTTTTCAGCAGGCTGGAGGACAAATGAAGAGAGAGCAAGAGAGAAGAGATGTAAAGACCAAAAGAGACATGAGATAAAAGAGAGCAAATGGGAAAAGAATGGCGACAAAGAGAAGAAAAAAAATACTAAGAAAGAAAAAGAGGTAAAGCAAAGAGGAAATCATTCCCAGTCACACCAGTGTCACCTATGCTTGTTGGCCTGTGGGAGTTAACAAAATAAAATACCCAAAGTGGCTAAACATTCACAATAGCTTATTTACTGTTTTGACACCTAAATACAGTTTTAGGATTTTATCTCAACTGGGTGGTTAAGAAGACAAACACATGACAACCAATAAATTGCAGTGGGATTTCAGCTGATTTTAATGCCCACCCCCCCGCCCCCCTTCACACAGATGACACTGAGAGAACAAAGAGGAGAGCATCTTACCTAGGGTACGGACCAAAGAGAGGAATTCTACTCCAGGCGGGAAGCGCAGGCAGAATAAATTAATATTAATATGATTAATATTAGCACACACGCACACAGGTTAGTTTAGGAGTTAGTGGAGGAAAATAAAGAAACTAAATTAAAATAAGAAATTAAGCAAGAAAAGATAAAGTATGTTAAAAATATAAACATAACCATATCACTAACTTCGTGTTTAATAATATAATGGCAATTTAATAATGATTTGTAATGCATAATTAGATTATGTTGCACAATATACAGTACATTAGGCATAGATACTATATTTAGAACATGATACCTACATCTACTTTCTTTCATGTTTTACATTTACACTATAAATGGTGTGAAAGAGAATGATTGACTATGAAAGACAAAGGGACAATAACAGCAGATGTATAGTGACTGATACTACACATTTATGTGATACTACAATGTATATGAACCAGAAATATGACTTCATTTAATGAAATAATGTTTTTAGATGCCAAGTTGAAATGTACAGGTTTTGTTTTCCAAGTCCAAATAGAGCAGTTCATATAAATATGAAAAGGCACAGAACCACAAAAGAGACAAGGATATGCACTCACCAGCCACTTTATTAGGTACACCTGTACAAATGTATGCAATTCAATGCAACACTTCCACCTTAACATCTATGTTTATGAAGCCCAAAACGTTTGTTTTTGTTGAAATTGTCATAAATGTATAAATTGAATTATATGTTTATTATTGAGGTCATAGTTAAAGGTGGTGTTGTACTGGATGACATTATATTCAGAGGTATTCCTAATATTCTGACCCTCTCATGTAAGTATCTGGGGATCATTCTAGTGTTAGCACATACACTAAGCATGCAGGACCACAAACCTGGAAACAGGACAGGGTGGGCGAGTACTTGCCATGGTGGAGGTGTGAGTGACGATGAAGGTAACTGAATATCAGTCACTTATTTCTGGCTACTAGTTCATCAATCTACTGTATATCAACACTTTCAAATAAGGGACTACCCAAGGCTTATTATTGAATACTAATAAAAGGGATGCATATTTGAAGACTAATGTCACTCATACTTACTAAATTTTCAAAAACATTTTCCTTATTAGCAGCTTGTACTGTCATAGATTTAATAGTTTTATATATTTATCATCTTTTGTGGCTGAAGAGGGCTTCTGTGAACTTTCATGCTCTTATCTGTGCTATTTGGTTTTCACAGTTAAAAGGTCATTTTCAAAAGAAGAATACAGTACTGTACTGTACTTAGACATCCACTTACAGATAAAACAGCCCTTAACTGAAGCAAACAATCTATGAGTTTTTACCCAATTAGGCCTTGTGTGGGCCACATCCTTTAGGTCATTATTCTCCATAAAGAGATGTTTTGTCTGTCAGTAGAAGGGTCCTGCTATCCTGAGCTGCCCTCTGTCCAAGCAAATTTATTTAGTGTGAAGCTGGTTCAGCTGCTGAGTGGCACCATGGGCCAAATAACATGACATCCTGTTTCTTGATCCATTCCAAGGCAATTAAACAACATAAATAACGATGCACCTATACTCAACTCAGCTCCATATTTTCTGTTTCTATTGTTTTGTCTAACTCACATGTTGTTGAAGAGCTCCCTGTACGTCTCATCTCCTTTACCCTCAGACATCAGGCTGTCCAGTTTGTCAATCAGCTTGGCCTCCACCTGTAAGGAAGAAAAATGGAATCAAATCTCCAACAGGCTGCCATTTCAAATGATATCAATAAAATACTGGCAAGAAGAGCAAGGATGGTTTAGAGCTTAAAACAGAAACGTGCTAGATTAAATCACGTCATGTCATAGTCAGCCATCTGTAATTTTTGTGTTTGTTTTAAGACTTAATTCTGCTTTGATGAAAGAGGTAATAGTGGCTTGTCTTATTTCTCCATGACTATCACATGATTTAATCATGTGAACTATGTGTAAATATCATTTTGAATCAGTCACTTTCTAACACCTGTGTACCTGTTTGAAATTGCCACTGCGTCTTTGCTCCCAGTCCATCATGTCATGGAAGATGGGGATCATGACATTCCTCAGATCAGGCTGAGGCACTAGTGTCACCTCTAGGAATGGACCAATCATCGCTGGAATGAAGTTGAACTTGTGTTCACCTGGAGGACAGACACAGGTCAACACATAAGTTAGACTCTCACTGAGACCACAGAGTTCTGTCTTTGTCTGATGCAATTTGGCCTGCTCTTACAAGCGCTCTTTCTTCAAAACTTTCAACAATAATAACTGCTCTAATAATCTGGTTTAAGTGCACTACACCAATTTATATGGTGCTGTATTTTCATTAACTAAATAATCACACTGTATATATTTTTATTTACTACTGTTAACAGAAACACTTACATAAAACAAAAATGAAGTGACTTCAAATGCATTTTAAAAACACACTTAAATACACATAAACACTGGTAATTACTATAAAAAAAACCTGTGCAAATCCGTTATTGACACAGATCAGAACAAAAGCAGTCACACACAACAGAGTGAGGCATCCAATTGGTTGCCATGGTGACACTGTTTTTGGCATAAAAAGTTGTTTTTTTTATAGCTCCCATCAGCTTGACTACAAAGAAATAGAGATCATTTGACTTTACTTTCTCCAAAACTTCAAGAACATTAGTTTTGCATCAGAAGATGGTTTGTTATTATAGGCCTGCAAAAGAAACATAGTGTTGTAATGGAAGACAGACAAGTGCCCTTATAGTACTTTATTTGCAGTTGCCCTATAACATAACAAAATTTTTGCCACATTACCTAAATTCTGCCACATGCTGAAGATCTCACAGCCCATCATCACCCTCATGTCTCCATACCTACATTATAAAATATCATGGTTAGAAATGTGTGCTTGCTGCAGGTAAAACCTGAGAGAAGCTACACAGAAGTCATAATACTGTATGTGACCAACATTGCAGTTTATGAGTGTGTGTGTGTGTGTGTGTGTGTGTGTGTCTGTTTTGAGGTGAGGTGAGGAGCAGGACAGGATAGTGTGTTGAATAAGCACATGGCTTATTACAGGCCTTCCTAATGTGTGCGGCAAAGAATACGACACTTACTTTTCCAGAATCTTCTTTCTCTTGGAGGGAGAGAAGGACTCCAGCTGAAGACAGGGCTGGTTGATAAATATTACAGACAGGTAGAAATACGAGTCCCACACCTATAAATGAGCAAAATATATAATATCTTCCTCAAGCTTACATTTTCAGGAATTCTTACAAAAAATATTACTTTCCACTGTCATCCATAAATTACTGAATGACAGTTGTTAATGTTAGCAGCTGTTAATTCCAGTCAAAAAAAAGTGTTGCAGTTTACTGAAGTTAGGAATATGAAATGTATAGGTACAGTATTTAAATGAAAGAAAGCACTTCTATTTTATTGCTGTTCCTTCTTTGGGGCTCCATCTTTGTTTCTTAGCTTCTAGATCTTTTTTGCCTGCCCTAAGCCTCTGACTAATGGCATTAGCTTTAGCTTGCAGGTCTGAGTCACTATGAAGGTGTCTGCTTTGAAAAGAGCAATGTACAAACAGAATTAACAACTGAGCGTGTCACACAAAATATTTTGAGTACTGTGGCATTGCTAAGATTGACACACAGACACATATCATTGATTTCTGCAACCTTGTAGTCAAACTTGTCATTGAGGAAGTTTTTCCTCAGCGCGTCAGAAAGGTAGAGGACAGTTGTGATGATGACACTAGAAGAACAAAAGAAAAAAAGGTGTCACCTTGGTGCAAAAGCATTATCATGAAATAATACACGTAACAGAAACTGGCCTTTTGTGGAGTAATAATGAAATGTCTTTCCTCATTTATATATTTTCTGTGAATCTGTAAGTACAGATTCATGTATGTGGGCTTACTTGTTTGTGACCAACCGCATGACAGTCCAGTCTTTAGGAAACATTTCTGGTCGGATTAGGATCCTGAAGACAGTAAAGATCTGAAGGAGGAAGTCCTGGAACAAACAAAACGAAGAGAATCTCATTAGGAACGCAAATCTTCATTTGTTCAAAACCGCAAGTTTGTGTACAGTCTTTCTCATCGTCTCTCTCCATGGTGCTGAAATACTCTAAATTAAAGTCACCATTTCCTACATGATAAATAAATAAAGGGTAGTTTATCATGAATAGTTAGACAGTATATTCAGCTACCTTTTTAGTATGAATTAGGCCCAATCCTATGTCTTATTTTTACCCATTCCTCTCATTTTCAAGTGCTCCCTCGTTTTTGAATTAACCCTCAAAACAGAGTTACAAGGAGCAGTGGTTGAAATCTTCCCCTATGAAATGGGACAAACCTTCTTCTTCTCAGCATCATCGGTAGATAATAACAATGGTTGATGAACAGATGCGATGAGTTGTTATCGAAACGTTTGAAGTGCACAATGCCCTCTTCAACCATGGAGATTTCTCTTGCTTGGGCTCTAGGCATTGGTTTGTGATTTTTAACAGTTAATAAGAAAAATACAAGGATAGAAATATGTTTTTGGCAAAAGAGAATGTTAGTGATTTAGTTTGAGGTATGTAGCATTGACTGCAGGTAACTTGTTATATAGTTAGCCTCATACCACTTGGTTTTGAGCCTCTAAAAACCCTCTGTTTGAAGGGCTATGCAGTCATACCCCTTCGCCCTACTCCTCCATCCTAAAGAGAATTAGGACACTTTTACCACTACATGTGAACGTGCAAAATGGAGGGACAGGGCTAAGTAGCAGGGGTGAGGGGTGAACTGCGATTGGGCCTTAGTGTGTAGTTTAGAACTGGCTGCTGAAACATGCAGTCTGTGCAAGTCTCTCTCCGTGGTTCTGAAACAATCAACTCCTGTGTGTCTCTCAGTTTAAATCAATTTTAATTTAACAACATAAAAATGAAACATAATTTAATGCATATCAGATAACATTTTTCAATCTATTTGTTCTTGTACCATCAATCAGAAAATTATACACTTTCTGAATATACAAATACTGAGTTCATTGGAAAAAAGTAATGTGCTGCAGTGAATTTGCTAATTCAAAGGGGCTTTTTATATGACCTCTACAATGTGACTAATTTGAAACACTATCATCTTCACCTAATTTAAAACCTGATTTATTATATAATGGGGCTATAAAAAGCTATACAGAACATTACAGGGAGTATCTATAATTCTATGAGTATTTTTCAATTTTTATCTAAGCCCAGTGTCTGCTCCATCAGTTTGAGAGACTTTCTTTGAATAATAAAATAAGTGCTCTCAAGCTACAAAGAGCCTATTATATTCTCTTGTTTCTGATATTGAGCAAACATCAGTAACACATTTGTAAATGTGCATACAAATATACAGTATGTAACCTCTCATGCAGTATACAAATATATACTGTATTGTGTGTGTGTACACCCATCCATCCATTATCTATACCGCTTATTCCTGAATAGGGTCATGGGGGTGCTGGACCCTACGAATAGCTCAGCTGACACTGGGTGAGAGGTGAGCTACACCCTGGACAGGTTGCCAGTCTATCACAGGGCTGACATGTAGGCATGTAGGCAAACAACCACACACACACACACACACACTCACTCCTACAGGGCACTTTAGAATCGCCAATCAACCTAAGCTGCATGTCTTTGTGCTGTGGAAGGAAGCTAGTGTACCTGGGGAGAACCCACAGAGAGACAGGAAGAACATGCAAACCCCACACTGCTGTGGCAAAAATTGGGTTGGCACAGGCTTGAACCTGGATCCTACTTGCTCTGCGGCAGCACTATCCACCATGCCACTGTGCCCCCCCTGTGTGTACATATATTTCAAATTCTGCAAGTAAATGGAAGAGTTTTTTGGTTGTCTTATTCCCCTGGGATAAACATACATGTAATCGTCACAAGCTTTTCAAATGTATTTGCCTTTAACATGTGGCATCTATCAGCTTTATACTGAATTTAATAAATTACACAAAGGTTACATTATTGGCATTTTCTAATGCAGGTGGGAGTCAAACATCTGTCGTTTCTGTCACTTCAGATTCACACACAGACATACAATGACAGAAGCATTACCACAGACAGATGAGTATGAAAAGAGAGGGAGAGAGACAGACAGATGTTATATAGTAGTCTTACCCTCAGGTCGTCTTTGCTGCTGAATGGCTGCAGCAGCTTCTGGTAGTGTCTGTCACTCATCTGTCGCAGGAGTGCCAACAAACATGCTACAAACTCTCCCTGGTGGGACAACACATGGACAGAAGAAGGAAAGTATGTATGCTCATCAATATTAATGCCACAGCATGTTTATAACTTGCATAGTTGTCCTGTAGGGGTCCATGTACTACTGTGTTTAAAAGATTTAAGAAGAAATATTCAAATTGTAATGAAATGTAAATACATTATGATATCAAGTTATTGTATGTATCTATTGTAGGGGAGAGTCACAATATTCAGAAAATGACTGTGAACATTTATATTACATCCAATCAACCCCCAAGGTCCTTGACCCCTTATTATTAACCTCTACTAGCAACTGGATAGAACTTTAGCAATATTAGTAGAACTCTATTACGAGTGGAATACCCCTCCACCCCTGCTCGAGTCTCCATGATGACACTGATCATCGGTGATCAAAATGATGATCCCATTATCATTCACTTCCCCATTCCCTTTCATGCTGCGTTGTATTTTCAATCTTAATTATTTCCATTAATGTTACTAATGTCAGTGGAATTATAGTTGTCAGAGCAACAGCTTTATTTAAAAATCTACAATTACTCTTGCACATTTTTTTAAGTCCCCAAACTATTTACAGTAGCAGGCAGGCATGTGCACACATGCTGACACATACTGTACTGTACATAGTAAAACACACATACAGTAACATCCTGGAACTGTAGTCTCATAGCAGGTCCAGTGGACTGCGGCCGATTGCTAATTTCCAGGATGGTCCTCAGTAAAACTTCCAAAAGGCTTTCCACAATTAGCTCCACTTCCTCAGACACTACAGGTTCCTATACAATAGGAATAAGACACACACATAAATTCAAATTAAATACAGGTGATAGTCACAGTTCACTTTAAGAGTATTCACATATACAGAGGAAAAGAAAGACTCCTTTTTTAGCCAAGATCCAAATCTAAAACCTCAAGGACCTTGATCCTTGTCATTCAAAAAGTGAATACATTTTTCTTTTGAAGTTATTTAGACCACTTGCTTTTTTCCAACACATCTTTGAACCGTGATTAACTACTAACATCATTTTGCCTCTGAGCCACAGTCTCCACCCTTTACTGTATAATCTTAATTTCATGGCAGTTTTAATGAGTCTTGAACCAAAAAGTGTGGGCACATAAAACACATTTCATTTCTAAGAGCAACATTTTAAAACTATAAATTCAGATAGAAAATGGAAAAGAATAAAAGGTAAAATAAAAAAAACAGCTGAAAGATTTATGCGTGTGTGTAAGTGCATTTCCCTGTAGTTTCCCTGACAAGACAGACAGGTCTTTGACAGAGTGATAATGAGAAGAAGCTTCAGACTGGCACATTTGCTGCCACTGCTGTCACTTCCCTTTAGATGTGGTGTCAGTGTGTGTGTGTGTGTGTGTGTGTGTGTGTGTGTGTGTAGTAGCTTGGGGTGCCTGACTTGCACGGTTTGCTACCAGAGGGACAGCAAACCCACACACACACACACACACACACACACACACACACACACAAACATGCACAGCTCCAAGTCACTGCCAATTCAATAATACCCATCGCTAAATTGATGGGCTGCCAATGTCCCTGTTACCAAGACTAATTGACCATATACACACAACAAAGCAATCTGCTGCTGCAATGTACTGGCAAGGAAATTGCTGTAAGAATAATTTATCTAGCTTTGACTACCTTTAATAGATGTTTTCCAGTTGTTTGTATGGTAAATATGAAGATACTGCAAGCAGCTAGTTAGCTTCGAATGTAAACCTGGGGAAACATCTAGTCTGACTCACTAATGAGCAAGCCCAAATGGAATTAGTGCCTGCAGAATTCTGACGTCACCTCCGCAGATTTTTAGCAAATTTTGAAAAGAAAGTAGAAGCTCATATTATAAGCACGTTTGCCACCCACCTGTATGTGTGGAACAGTTCTGAATGTTTTTTTTGTCAATTTCTAAGCCAAGGATCTGAGATTCACATCACATCTCTGCCTAGTGCTTCTTTTTCATTCATTACACAACAATCTGTGATACTTCTCATGTCACCTTCTAGAGCTGTTCCCCTCAGTAGCCTATGTGAACAACCCTGGTTAATGTCTATTAACAAAGATATTAATGATGATTCCTGATGAGATTGTCTGAAAATGTGCACCATTATCCCAACTCCCCCCACATGCTCCTGTTTTTACACGGTAGTCGGTCAGTAGCCTATGTCTAAAGAAATTGAATTTTGTATTTCAGTGGCCATGTGTCCTTATATTTAATGCTGGTGGAAATATTGATGAAATAAAAAATTCTCAAATTTAAAAGTTCATATAAAGAGATGAGATTTATTTCACTCTGCTCAAGATTATTTTAGGTTGTTTTAATGCATTTTTGTACTTACGTTTGCTCAAAAAATAAATCATTAGCTAAATGAATATTTCCTTTTCAATTACAAAAAAAAAAAAAAAAAAAAAAACCATCCACGGGACCCAACAGATTTTCCACCCGAAAAAACTGTGAAAAAAAATCCACAGACTCTGTTTGGACCTGCATAATGAGCCACTGTTCTGGTTATCTAGCAACCTCACGATGACGATAGGACTACAGGAAGTGACTGCCCCGTTCTGGCACTAATCATCTGTAAAAAGTCTTGTCACTATGACACTTCAGATTTTGTACGGAATTAACAAAAGGGATATAGCGTGATAATTTGTGAGCTTTAGATATGCTCTAGATGGTATGTGTTACCTTTGAACAGAGCCTGACTACCTGTTTCTAGTCTAAGCTAAGCTCACTCCACATGACAGTGGTAACGTCTCATCTAACAGTCAGCAAGAATGTGAATAAGTCATTTTCGGCTTTTCCAGTTTTAGGGGTCGGCAAGGCGAACTGTCACACTGATGACTCACTGTTGACATTTGGCAGGTGTTTTATGCCAGATGCCTTTCCTGATGCAACCCTGACTCAAAGCTGGGCCACAGCGGTGAGAGCGCTGTGCCTTAACCACTAGCCTACCAGGGATGGCAAGAATGTGATTAAGTTTATTTCCCAAAAGACTAAACAATTCTTTTAGCAATGAGAGGGGCTTTTACAGATATAAAGGCACTTGATTCTTATTGCAATACTCACTGTTGTGCCATTTTCCTCCTTCTTGATAAGGGAGAGCATGCTGGTGAGGATGCTAGCACACATCACTAGGTCCCTCTGCTCCTGCATGTGGGCCTGGAGGACTCGGAGCACCACCGGCAACAGGATGCACCGTGAATCTGAAACACACATACACACAGTGAGCTGTCACATGTCAAAGACATAATGATGCACAATAGATAAACAACCAAGAGACATCATAAAAGAGAACATGGGGAATATTTTCATTCATTTTCTGTTTCCATTCTTTTGTGTTCATGAACACATGATGTTTCCTGGATTTAATTAGATGTAAATATAATTCAGTATTTGTGTAACTGTGATGTGGTTCTTAAGGAAAAAATAAAAAGATGGCATAGTTGCAAATGCAGTGCAAACCAATAATTTATTGTGCTCATCCCCAATGTGAAAAATAAAAAAAATGCAGATATTTACAAAGAGGTTAAAACATTCTTCCAAAAAAACATGCAACAAGTAGCACCGCAGTCATCAGCAAGACAGGTACAGCCTTCTATGCAGCTCAAAATACCAACCACTCCACAGCGGAACTTGGGTTGCCTTTAATACCCTAGGCTCTGCCCCATACCAATCGAGTCACAGTGACGACTACTCATGTGACACACACAACCATATTTAACGATGGCCGCAATGTTTGAACATAACTCAACAGACAAATGACAACAAAACACTCATCCCAGCAACAACGATATGAAACACAGTAAGTAATAACGCAACTTAACTACATTGTTGATTTCTCTATGCGCATATAAATGTGACGGCGCTCCTTTTGCCTACATACTTCATCAGCCACTCATGACAGAGCTACTCCGTCACATCATCCCCCTCGTCCCGGAACTTGGCAACCTAGAAAGATAATCCGCCACCGCATTGGTCCAGCCTGCCCAATGATGAGTGGCAGAATTATAGGGCGGCAACAACAAATACCACTGTGTTAGGTGGCTGTTATGATCCTTCATGGAATTGATCCACGTAAATGCCCAATGGTCGGTCTCCAAATCAAACTCCCTTCCAAGCAGGTAACACCTTAGCTGTTCCAGTGCCCACTTGATGCCCAGTGCTTCCTTCTCTATTACTGAATACCTGGTTTCTCTGGGAAGAGGTTTTCGAATAAGATACAGGATAGGTTGCTCTTCCCCTGGATCCCCCTGTGCCAAAACAGCTCCTAGGCCTACTGCAGACGCATCCACCTGTATCAAGAACCACTTGCTGAAGTCAGGGCTCCGAAGCACTGGTGAGGAGCACAGACAAGCTTTCAAGGTATGAAAGACAGTTTCACATTCCTCATTCCACATTACCAGGTTCTTTTGGTTCTTGGCATTTAATGCAGTTAGTGGAGCTGCAACCGTTGCAAACTGGGGTGCAAATCTGCGATATCACCCTACTAACCCTAAAAAGGATCACACAGCCGTCTTGGTACAAGGACGAGGACAGCTCTGGATTTCTTCCACCTTATCTGTCTGGGGTTGCATCTCTCCTCCTCCCAGCTGGTAACCAAGGTAAAGTGCCTCTTGTCTGGCCCATTGACATTTATCAGGGTTAAGGGTCAACCCAGCACCCTGGATCTTCCCTAGGACTTCCTTTAGGTGCTGGAGGTGCTCCTCCCACGTGTGACTGAAGATGACCACATCATCAAGGTTGGCAGCACTGATCTCATTACAAACCAGTAGAACCTTGTCCATGAGCCTTTGGGAGGTTGCGGGTGCCCCATGCAAACCAAAGGCATCACGGTGAACTGGAACAACCCTGCAGGTGTGTGGAAAGTAGTGTATGGTCGACTTTCATGTTCCAGGGGCACCTGCCAGTATCCCTTACACAAGTCAAGGGTCGTGATGTACACTGCAGACCCAATCTTCTCCAGCAGGTCATCGATTTTGGGCATAGGGTAGGCATCAAACTCAGAAATGGAACTGAGCTTTCGGAAATCAATGCAGATCCATAAAGACCCATCTTTTTTGTCAACAATGACAACCGGACTACACCATTCTGAGGTTGATGGCTCAATAACACCCAATGCCAGTATTTTCTCCACTTATCTCTGTAGCTGTTTCACCAACTGCTGTGGGACACAATAAGGCCATTGGCGAATAGGCCGGTTGTTCTTCAAGCGGATCACATGTTCGATAAGATTAGTCCGGCCTGGGTTGGCAGCAAAGAGCGAGGGTACTTCCTGGAAAACTTGATGCAGTTGGGAAGCTTGTTCTTGAGGAAGATGAGTGAGTATTGGAGGAGATGTCTCTGTCTCAATAACCCCTGGATCCTCCTCCCTCTCTACTACTTCCGCCAGGCACATGACCTTGCAGTTGGTGCCCTATGCTCCTTCCATTCTTTCAGAAGGTTGACATAGTATGTCTGCTGAAGTTTCTTTTTATCAGGATGATGTACCTCATATGTTACAGGCCCCATCTGTCAAGTGATGGTATAAGGTCCTTGCCATTTAGCCAACAACTTAGAGCTGGAGGATGGAAGAAGCAAAAGCACCTGTTACCCTGGCTGTAGATCTCGGCCACATGCTTGCTGGTCATACCAAGTGTCTTTTGCTTTGCTTGGGCCTCTTGCAGATTTTTTCCAGCTGCCTCCTGATAATGCAGAGTAAGTAATAACGCATTATGGATTTGTTTCTATATGCGCATGTAAAAGTGATGGCACTCCTTTTAATTCATGTATGTGCGCATGTATGTCTGTGTAGGCTACATACTTTGTGACATCGTGACGGAGCAACTCTCCATCACAGTAACATTAATGTGATTTGCATGAGGGATGTTTTCCTTGTTATGTGTAGCCTTTGGGAGCACACTGGGAAAAAACACTTACACAGTAATTTGCTTCAGTGCACAGCCTTTATTAAGAACAATTTAATGACATGGAATTAGGTGCACTGTGGGGTAACAATTAGCCAAGGTGTGTTCTCAGATGATTGCACTGCAGGAGCACACAAGCTATCAGTATAATATGAACTGATAGCTTGTGTGTACAAACTGCAAGGCAAACTGAGGACTGTCAGCATATTTAATCTGTATGCAAGGCTTTTGTATTTGCATTATTTGCTCAGTTTTTTATATAATGGGCTTTTTTTTGTGTTTATGAGCTTTAGGATGTTTTCAAACTTGGTCTCTTTCATCCCTCAAAATGAACTCAGAGAGATTAGTCAGCATTTTTGTGTAAACATGAACGCTCCAAACAAACTCAGACCCCTCTGAAATAGGCTGCACTGAGACCACCTCCCAAGGGGATCTCAGTTTGGTTCGTTTCAAGTCCACAATGTGAGTCAGTTAATACAGTATGTCCATTGTGAAGACAAAGTGCTCCAGGTTCGCTTCTGTTTTTTTGCATGCAAGGAAACACTGGCAATCTGTTGAAGTATCTAGCGCAAGTCCATCATGGAGAAATGCAGTTTTCCACTGACTAGCTTGCAGTTTCTCTCCTTGCCCAGGAATCTTATTTATTTAAGCAGCCTTGTGCATGGGCTCAATGATAATTATAATCATAATGGTAATCACTTTATTTGGCCAAGTATGTTATTCACACAGTGAATTTGTCTCCTGTACAGAACTAATGCAGCCATCTCGGGTTCCAATTCATACACATACCGATGGTGGAGCTGTCCCTGCAGGGCACTACTCTGGCCATCGAGTAACTTGGGGTTCAGTGTCTTGGCAAAGGACACTTCGACATGTGGACTGTAGGCACCACAAATCAAATCTCCAACATTCTGGTTGGGAGACGACTGCTCTGCCCCTGAGCCACAGCTGCCCCACCCCACAAATATGGGTTAATCAATTAAAATAACCATTAGTCAGCTGACTGTTAAGGGTTCATTTGTATATTCAATATACAATGGTCAAGGCATCATGTGAACTGTCGTTCAGAAGTTCAGTTTAATTTGAGAGTGCTCAGAGCAGGGGCGGATATAATGATTTGGGGGCTGGAGGCACCTCACAGTAAAAGTACCGTCAAAGAAAAAGTCATTTTCAGTTTCTTTTTTTTTTCCCAATAATCACACTGTAGTCTAGTGGTTTGTTCAAAACAATGCTGTTGCAATTTGCTACTCAAGAATGTTAACAGAAAATATGAGAAAATAAGAAATAAAGCAATGTTAACACTCTTCTAAATTTTTTTTTACTTAAAAAAGTAACAAAAACTACCGATAGAAGTAAAGTACCAAATTAATAAGCAATATTTGTAGCAGTTCTGTTAAGTATCTTAATGATACCCATATGGATGAGTAGTTTAGTGCAAGCAAGAAACTACTGCACTTCTCCAGATATGGAACAAAAAACACATCAACAACCATCTATAATGCAGACACACATTAAGGGTTTTCAGTTTTCAGAGACTGAGGAGCTTCATTAGGACCCCACTGCAGTGATGCATCAAAAGGGAGAAATAACCTCATCAGAGTACTTTATCACACGACAAAAAGAGAGAAGGTAGAGAATCCTTTGACATAAAAGACATATGTGAAATCAGTAAAGGTCTGAGAACTCCAGAGTCAATATCGTATGAACAGAAAGAGGACTGAGGCCCTATCAGAGCTGAAATGAACCAGAAAGAGAACTGAGTCCTCTTCCAAATGTACTCAAAGTGAAAACACAATAAGAACTGAGTCCATTTTTTCCATTTGAAAAGTGTGACCAAGTGTGAAAACACCTTTAATTACAATGTGACGGCAGTGCACATAAACTGTGCATCTGTTTTTGTGTGCACATCTTTACCTGGGTTTATGTAAAGCTGGCTTTCCACAGTCTTGGCAATGCACTGCAGCTTGACAGCCTCCACGGGGCAGTCAGCATGGACAGTAGCGGGAAGACTGCCCAGTGTCTCCCTCGCAAAGCTGGCCACCTCCCGCACTGTGAAGATCTTCAGCAACTCGCCATAAATTGCGGGAAATGCCCGCAGGAACACAGCCTAGACAAAGATGGCAATCATGTGAATGACTGGAAGTACTTTGTTGGTAGTAACCAAAAGCAGCAAAAATGTAAGTCAAACGAAACAGGAGTATTTTAGGATATGACTATACATCCACATTTTATTTTAAGTGTTTGTTCATTAGTTTTACTACATTCTCCACTAAATGAGAATAACATATAATGGACCCTCATTCTCAAAGTGATGCGGAAGCCCTCTGACACTCAGTGGACAATGCTTGGTAATAATGATATTCAGTACCATAAAGGAGTTCATTGCTGTTGCTTCTGTTGGATTTATGTCAGGTGAAGTACAATAAACTACCTTAAAGGAGCCTATGAGGGATTTATAGGAAGAGACAGGGGATAGATAGGGAGGGAGGGGTTGTGGGAAATATTTGTAAAATGAAAACCATAAAAAGAAACCTAAAACTCTATACACGCCATATTTATACAGTATCTGTGTTGATGGAAAGCTGTTTTACTGGTACAACAAAAGTCAATATTTAATATTTTGCCATGAACTGCTGGCCTTGATTTGATTTTGTTGGAAAACGTGAGAGTCAAGGGGATTGTATGGATTAAACTAAAGGATTAAACTGAGACTGCTGTCTGGCATTTTTTGCAGCTTTCTGCCTGATGTTTTTTGTTCTTGTCAGATCCTCAATGCATCGCTGAAAAATGAAGATTACCAAAATCTAGAGTGGCTTTTTTTCCAGAAAAGGCTGGCAGACAATAGAAACCATTTTTCAGCAACACCTTGTTTCAATGTCACAAGTGTTTCGGTTTCAGTGGAGCAAAGAGATTTATAGCACTGCAAATTTTAAATGGCTTCTTGCTGGAAACTGCTAATTCTGAGTTTCTCAACTCTAAACACAGTGCTTGATAAAGGGCCCTTGAGATAATGAATATCTTAATTTGAATTTATTTGATAATAAAATCTGTATTAAATTTAAAAATATATATAACACAGATGAAAAGTATACCAAACTGAAAATAAAAATACATTACAACTTTCAGCTTTCTAACTGCTCTGTGCATGAGATACTAGGAACATAAAAACAATCCTGTGTTAATTTTCTAGAGAAACCACTTGTTCCCCAATTTAAATTACCTCTCTGCAGAAATTCTTACTGACATTCACAACATAAATAAAACAATCTTGAGGGACCATTCTAGCAAGCTATAGTCTCTATTATAGCTGAAACAACATTAAACTGTGGGTTTAGTTCTCTACAAATCAGATGTTATACCGTATTATAAAGCTCGGGTCAAAGGCCCTTCATTATGTCTACGTGTGTGTGTTGGCAATCACCTGACCTGCATCTTTCCACAGCTACTGTTGTGTTGACAGTATAGATTAGTCATGATCAGAAGTCAGTGTAGGAATGAAGCAGAGATTTTCAGACTATATGGAGAGGACAGAGCTGGAATAGATAATGTTAGGCTAATAATCTCATTCTCGTGACTGCAAAGTGAGGCTAAATTATTACAAAGTGACTGTGAAAAGTGACTAGAGGGCTTGTAACAAGAGTGCTGCTTTTAATAACTCCCTCTGTCACTGTCTTGAGTAGATTGTTATAATTGTTCAAATGAGCTGTGAAAAGAAAACCCAGCAGAGTAATAAACCTGATGAGAAAAGGCAAATGAGAATACAGAACAACCAAACAAGAAAAGCAGTAAGGAAAAGGAGGAGGACATGAAGAAGGTAAAAAAAGAATTATGAGAAAGAGACATACATGTGGGTACCATAGGGACAAAAGCATAAAAATATTAGGGTTGTCAACGTTAACGTGATAAGGCGTTAGCGCAAATTTCTTTTAACACCACAAATTTTTAGATGCGCCATTAATGCACACACATTCTGTGATTATGACCCTTGGCATGCCCCATAGTTTGGAAAATCAGGAAACGATGCAGCAGTAAAGTCATGGGTGGCAAGCAGAAACAAACCTCCTTGATCAGAAATGAATAAAGTAAAGACATTTCTTTGACGAGTGTGCAAAAAAAAAGGGCACACAAAACGACACAAGCTGTTTTTTTTCCTGTGTGTAATTAGGATTATCTTTGGAGTGTTTAGCTTGCTTGTTTTGGTCTTGTTTGGAACCAGTGAAGGCAGCTCCCCTGCCGTTCAGACCTCCCAGAGGAAAAGTAAAGGCTGCCACAGAAAGTCCTATTCCAACTCCAGACCCTCTGGCAGCATGAGGTTCAATTACGGCAATTTCTCACCATCACAACTGCATTAACAAGAGTCCTCAGGAAAGAAAACAATGTGGCACACATGCACCCACAGACACACAGAGATGCACACTTGATGATCAAAAAGTTACAGAGGACTTGAGACATGTTCATGGATGGAACAGGAGCACACATACTGTGCACGCACCTGTGTTTGTGCAACAGGACTGGTGCCTTTGTTTTCCTGTGAGAGGAAGAAGCGGATGGACATGAAAAGCTCGTGGATGCAGACTCTGAACTCCTCCTCATTTTGTCCTCCTGTCGCTAATGAAAACAGCCGGCGAGACTGGATAATGTACTTGAAGATGTACTTGCTGGCCTGAAAGGCAGAAAACAAATATTTAAGATTTGTTGGGTAATAATAAGCCAAGCAAGCCAGACTTCCTTTCTAGTAAAAATAGACAAAGGACAAAGCAGTTCTTATTTATTTATTAAAAACATTATACAGATCGGTTTAACAGGCAACGTATTAAACATGTTATACATGTCGTGTATCATTTATTATTTACTCTATGACAAAGTAGCATTCACTTCTGGTGTAGAATAAGTTATAAGAAACTGCACTACAAAAACTGCAATATGTTTTTCTGTCGTATCTGAATGAGTCAGAATAATATGATGTGGATTCCCAGCACCAGAGGCACTGCATTTCTGCTGATTAAAATTGTACACAGCGTAACACACAGAGGAGGGGAATGAATAGTGTCGAGATGAATTCGCTGCTGATGGGGAGATAAATTAGCAAGAGTGTGAGAGGGAGCAGGTTTGTTTGTTTGTATTTCGGGATCAAATCAAATCAAATAAAATGTTATTTGTATAGCGCCAAATCACAACAAAAGTCATCCCGGGACACTTTAAAAAGTAAGGTCTAGACCTTCCTGTTATCACTATTATTACAGAGGGAAAACCCAACAAATTCCCCTTGAGCAAGCACTTGGTGACAGTGGGGAGGAAAAACTTCCTTTAATGGAAGAAACCTCCGACAGACCCCGGCTCTTGGTGGGCGGCCTTCTGCCTCGACCGGTTGGGGTGAGTGGATAGAGGAGAGACAAAAGAAGAAAAGCAACAGGACACAACAAACAATCGAACACTGGTCAGGTTGATGTGGCCGGTGACTGCTCATCGGAAACATAAAGCTCCAGAGCCAGGGCTACCTGCAGAAAAGTACAAGGAGAGACAGAGAACACACTATGGGAGAGAGGAGACACAAAGTTAGTGATGTGTAATGGTGGCATATAGAAGCATAGGGAGAGAGGAAAGGAGAGGAGAGGGGAGGGGAGGAGAGAAACTCAGAGCATTATGGAGCCCCCCAGCAGCCTAGGCCTATAGCAGCATAACTAAGGGAAGGCTCAGGGTCACCTGATCCAGCCCTAACTATAAGCTTTATCAAAAAGGAAAGTCTTAAGTCTAATCTTAAAGGTAGAGAGGGTGTCCGCCTCCCGAACTGAGACTGGGAGTTGGTTCCATAGGAGAGGAGCTTGATAGCTAAAGGCTCTGCCTCCCATTCTACTTCTGTGGACTCTAGGAACCACAAGTAAACCTGCACTCTGAGAGCGAAGTGCTCTGTTAGGATGATAAGGCTCTACGAGGTCTTTAAGATACAATGGAACCTTGTCATTAAGGGCTTTGTATGTTAGGAGAAGGATTTTAAATTCTATGCTGAATGTTACAGGGAGCCAGTGGAGAGAAGCTAATATGGGAGAGATATGATCTCTCTTGCTAGTTCCTGTCAGTACTCTGGCTGCAGCATTTTGGATTAACTGGAGGCTGTTTGGGGAATTATTGGGACATCCTGATAGTAAAGAGTTACAGTAGTCCAGCCTGGAAGTAACAAATGCATGGACCAGTTTTTCAGCATCACTTTGAGACAGGATGCTCCTGATTTTTTGCAATATTGCACAGGTGAAAGAAGGCAGTTCTAGAGACTTGGTTTATGTGTGATTTAAAGGACATATTCTGATCAAAGATGACTCCAAGGTTCCTCACAGTAGTATTGGAGGCAAAGATGACTCCAAGGTTCCTCACAGCAGTACTGGAGGCGGGAGCTATGTCATCTAAAGTAAATATATGATTAGATATCAGATTTCTAGCATTTTCAGGCCCAAGCACAATGACTTCAGTTTTGTCAGAGTTTAAAAGTAAGAAGTTACAGGTCATCCAGGCCTTTTAAGACATGCTCGAAGTTTGACCAACTGATCTGATTCATTTGGCTTCATAGACAAATATAACTGAGTATTTTCTGCATAGCAATGGAAATTTATGTTGTGCTTCCTGATAATATTGCCTAAAGGGAGCATGTATAAAGTGAAGAGAATTGGACCTAAAACAGAGCCCTGTGGAACGCCGTGACTAACTTCAGTTTGTGTGGAACATTCATCATTAACATGAACAAATTGAAATCTTTCTGATAAATAAGATTTGAACCAACGTAGCGCAGTTCTTTTAATCCCAATAACATGTTCAAGTCTCTGCAGTAAGATGCTGTGATCAATGATGTCAAAAGCAGCACTGAGATCTAAGAGGACAAGTATGGAGACAAGTCCTGTGTCCGAGGCTAGGAGAAGATCATTGGTGACTTTCACCAATGCGGTTTCTGTACTATGATGGACTCTAAATCCTGACTGAAAATCCTCAAACAAATCATTCTTGTGCAAGTGGTCACATAACTGCTTTGCAACAGCTTTTTCAAGGATTTTGGAAATAAATGGGAGAGTGGATATTGGTCTATAATTAGCTAGGACACCTGGGTCAAGAGTAGGCTTTTTGAGTAGAGGTTTAATTACTGCAACTTTAAAAGCCTGTGGAACATAACCTGTTAATAGAGAGAGGTTAATCAGATCTAGTATGGATGTGTTGATTAGGGGAAAGACATCTTTGAGCAGCCTGGTCGGGATGGGGTCCAGGAGACATGTTGATGATTTAGATGAAGCAATTGTTGAGGTCAACTCAGAGAGATCTATAGGGGAGAAGTAGTCCAAGTATAAATGAGGTCTTACAGATGTTTCTAAAGCCATTGTAGTAGATGGCACATCTGCGAGAGCTGTGGGAGTGGTCCGACCAATTTTTTCTCTAATAGTTGTGATTTTATTTGTAAAGAAGCTCATGAAGTCATTGCTGCTGAGATCTAAGGGAATGTTAAGCTCAACAGCACTGTGGCTCTTTGTCAGCCTGGCTACAGTGCTGAAAAGAAACCTGGGGTTGTTCTTATTTTCCTCAATCAGTGATGAATAAAATGCGGTTCTGGCACTATGAAGGGCTTTCTTATATGTTATTAAACTATCTTTCCAGGCTATGAAAAACTCTTCTGACTTAGTGGAGCGCCACCTCCTTTCCATTTTTCGTGATGCCTGCTTTAGGGAGCGGAGCTGCAAGCTGTACCACGGGGCTAGCCTCCTCTGTTTCACTACCTTCTTTTTCAGAGGGGCAATGGTATCAAATGTATTACTACGAAGGGCTTTCTTATATGTTATTAAACTATCTTTCCAGGCTATGAAAAACTCTTCTGACTTAGTGGAGTTCTGACCTAGTTACAGTTTGAGAAAAGGCAACTGAGTCTAATAATGAACAGAATGCATTCCTGAGGCTGTCATTGTCAGCATCTACATGGATGCTGGACTAAAGTTGCCTACTATGATTATTTTATCTGTACTAAGCACTAAATCAAACAGAAAGTCTGAGAATTCACTTAAAAACTCTGAATAAGTAGCAGGTGGACGGTATACAATGACAAACAGAACAGGCTTTTGAGTTTTCCAGTTTGGGTGTGAGAGACTCAGGGTGAGACTTTCAAATGAGTTATAACTATGTTTAGGTCTAGGGTTGATTAATAGGCTTGAGTCAAAGATCGCTGCCACGCCACCACCTCGGCCTGTGTTTCGAGGGATGTGACAGTTACTGTGACCAGGTGGAGTGGATTCATTTAGGCTGACATATTCTTCCTGCTGTAACCATGTTTCAGTAAGACACAATAAGTCAATGTGATGTTCACTTATCAAATCATTCACTAACAGAGATTTAGATGAGAGAGATCTGATATTTAATAGTCCACATGTGATTGTCCTCTTTTCTACTATAAGAGGAGTTGTCTTAATTTTAATTAGGTTCTTATGAATAACTCCTCTGGAGTTGATTCTTGATTTATATAATTTAGATGGGCGGGGGGCAGACACAGTCTCTATGGGGTACTGGGAGCATTGCGTGGGTAGCAGCTGCAAGGAGACAGCAGAGAGGC